CGACACATAGTTCTGGAAGTACAAGCTGGAATACTTTACTAGAGCACTCCTCCCTGGACCTGAGAGTAAAAACAAATACACCACTACATTGGCTCTCAGTTCCAGGACACTCCCATACAAAATCAGATAATCCCTCCTCTGTGCCTGGGAGATAATTGGATCAGGAACTGTACTAATCTAATCCAATTATCTCCAAGCTCAGAAAAAACATACTTTTTCCCAAACACCCCAAAAGTACCCTAAATATACATGCAACCCCACAAAAGTTACATACTATAGCCCAGATCTGGGTGACCAACATATCCAAATATCACCCAGATCAGTTCAGGGGTTCAGGAATTTATTTATAATATTTGACCAACCGCATGCAGGGTCCCATGCACAAAACAGTTCCATAGAAAGAGGGCTTGCGGTCTGTCTAGTTCAGTAGTTTAAAAAAGTGAACAAACTACCGAACGGAATCCATAGTTCTATCCTGGAGCTTGTTCACCTTATTCAGACGAATGATTCCACGGAACAGTGTGATCCTACGTGTTATAAAACTGAACACAGGCGATCATGCAAGTCCAGCAGTGTTCAGGAGTTTCAGTATACGAAAATATTATGGGGAGTGGAGCTAGGTTACAGGGGGGAGAAGATTACAGGGAGGGGGATGTGGAGAAGGGAGGGAGAGGGAGAAGAAGAAGATTGAGGGGGAGTGGAGAAGATTTGAGGGAGGGGGAGAAGAAGATGATTACGGGGGAGAAGAAGAGAAGATTATGGGGAGAAGAAGAGAAGATTATGGGGAAGAAGAGAAGGTTATGGGGGAGAAAAGAAGGTTATAGGGGAAGAAGAAGAGAAGATTACGGGAGAAGAAGAGATTACAGGGAGGGGGAGAAGAAGAGAAAATTACAGGGGGGGAGAAGAAGAGATTACAGGGACGGGGGGAGAAGAAGAGGAGAACAGGAGGGTGGGAGATAAGAACGTAGGGGAGGGAGAGACCACTAAAGGAGGGAGTGGACAGTGGAGAGACCACTAGGGGCGGGTGGGGGGAGAGGAGAGACCACTAATGGAAAGTCGGGGAGAAAAGGATACCACTAAGGGAGGTGGGGGGGGAGAGGAGAGACCCCTTTGGGGCAGGGGAGCTCTCTAAGGAATGGAAGGGAGAGCTCTATAGGACAGGGGGCAGGACAGGGAGCTCTTTCACACCACACGCACACACACACACACACACACACACACAATGCATCCCTATACACACAGAAACACAACATGCTTCCCTTACACACAGAGAAACACACAATGCAACCCTTACACATAAAGACAATGCATCCTTTGCACAAATACACAGAAACACACTGCATCCCTTACACACACATGCAAACACACGCTGCTTCTCTTACACACACACAGAAACACGATGCATCTCTTACACACACTCAACGCACCCCTTACAGACACACACACTGCATCCCTTACATACACCGAAACACACTTTGCATCCCTTATGCATACAAACACAGATTCACACAATGCATCCCTTACACACAACAAGAAACACACAATACATCCCTTATACACAAACACTCACTGCTCTCTATCCCTTACACAAATACACACTGCTTCCACTATACACAAACACACTGCATCACCTACACAAACTGGTATCCCTATACACTACATTCCATAAGCGCACACATTAGATCCTCTACAGTAACACATAACACATCCCCTACACACTCCACTCCCTGTGAGCAAACTCATGGGTGGAACATGTAGGTGGACTTTTAGGTGGGTCTTATGGGCATACTCACCGTCAGGCCCTGGGGCCCAGACCTTGAGCTTTGTAAGGGGCCCCCAAAAATTGAGCTGCTTCCCGTTCTCCCAGAACATTGAATTTTGTGGCCACAGTTACAAACAGCCTCCAGAGATCCTGTTCTACACCAACAAGTAGGCAATCTAGTATATTATTAGTGACACTAATCTCTAATTTACCTCACATTAAAGAAACACTATAGTCCCCAGAACCACTGCAGCTTAATGAAGTGGTTCTGGTGTCTATAGCCGGTCCCTGCAGGCCTTTTAATGTAAACACACACTGTGTGCAGCACTGGCGTTAGTTCATATGGTAGTTCATATGGGTGGGGCATTGCGATGTCCCGGGGGGGGAAGGGGGCGGCAAATCTTTCTTTTGCCTAGGGCGGAAAAAATCCTTTCACCGGCCCTGCTCCCAGAACTATGTGTCATCTGGTTACTGGGAGGGGGGAAAGGGCTATTCTTTAATCACTGTTCAAAACCGTTATTCTCTTAATAGGTAAATTAACACCCTGCACGTTTACAGACCCCAATTTAATCATATTCCTCCTCCTCTGTTTTCCACTCTCTGCTGCTATTCAAACAATAATGAATACATTCCACATATTCATAATGAGGGCCCAACAGGGCCTCATATTCCTTTCTTTTAAGACAGTGATTTTATTTTGCATGATGGATTTCTTTTGAGATATAAAGAGGATGACCAATCCGCATTATTCTTTAAATTGTTTTCCTATCTTCCCTTTTTCCCTTCTTTTTACATATAGAGCATCAATGCCTTTAAAGGAACACTATAGTCACCTAAATTACTTTAGCTAAATAAAGCAGTTTTAGTGTATAGATCATTCCCCTGCAATTTCACTGCTCAATTCACTGTCATTTAGCAGTTAAATCACTTTGTTTCTGTTTATGCAGCCCTAGCCACACCTCCCCTGGCAATGATTGACAGAGCCTGCATTAAAAAAAAACTGGTTTCACTTTCAAACAGATGTAATTTACCTTAAATAATTGTATCTCAATCTCTAAATTGAACTTTAATCACATACAGGAGGCTCTTGCAGGGTCTAGTAAGCTATTAACATAGCAGGGGATAAGAAAATCTTAATTAAACAGAACTTGCAATAAAGAAAGCCTAAATAGGGCTCTCTTTACAGGAAGTGTTCATGGAAGGCTGTGCAAGTCACATGCAGGGAGGTGTGACTAGGGTTCATAAACAAAGGAATTTAACTCCGAAATGGCAGAGGATTGAGCAGTGAGGCTGCAGGGGCATGTTCTATACACCAAAACTGCTTCATTAAGCTAAAGTTGTTCAGGTGACTATAGTGTCCCTTTAACCCCTTAAGGACAAATGACACTTGTGACATGCATGTCATGATTCCCTTTTATTCCAGAAGTTTGGTCCTTAAGGGGTTAATACTCCCCTGCAATTCCTAAATAATAGTCCTGATATCATAAGAATATAATCTTCAATAGAGCATAAAGTGTTAATATTTCCAATGTCAGTGTATTTGTGAATAGTAGAATTATTTTCCTTCTATCTGACCATACTTCTCCAGTGTCATATTTCTTAAATCTCACCCATTTTCTCTTTTTTATTTTCCTTTTTCCCATTCCCCCTTTGCCTTCGTCTTTTAAATCCACCCTAATTTGCATATATAGACCAATCATTATATTAGCAAATATCATTTATCATATAGTTAACTGTGCCTTAATACTCTCTTATACCTCCTTTTATTCTTATATCACCTTGTGTTCTTATGTTCTTCCTTTTCCTATTCTGTGCATATATAGTGCTATATATATATATATAAAAAATTATTTTCATAAATCTATATGTTTCCGTACGTCTATATGTATCCATCCTGACTATTTTTTATAATTCTTTATTTTTTCAGTGCATGTGAAATATCGTTTGCAGAGTAGAACATGACATTAATAGGCAGTGCGAGAAAGTAGTTTGCGTATACAAAGCATGTGGATAAAGATGCACCATTTTTGTGGGCCAGGCAATAGGTGAAAGGTTCTGACCTGAGTCAGACTATGCATAAAAACAACAATATTAAACATTTGGTTTGCATGTCTGGCAGGGTGCTTGTTGTGATGATATAGTGTGCTAGCATGCGCAAAATCAGGCATAAATACTGTTTTTGATGAGGCTATTGTTTTTATTGACGGAGTTACATGTCTGTCAAGGGAGTGCTATTCGGGTACCCTTGTGCATGTTAGGGACAGCACCCTTTGACCTGTGCTTCTCTTGATGCCGAGCCTGCAATGTAGCCGGGTTGAAGTGAACTGTAGCTGAGGTTGTCTGAGCTGAATCAGATCGGGTGTAGGCAGTTTGGTGGCTGCTAAGTATGGTCATGTAGCTTGATGTGGGTTTAAGTATATGGGTGTGGGTGGTAGTGTGTGCTTCCGTCTTTTAATCAGCCTTGCTTGTCGGGCCTTGGCTATAGATGATAGTGTTGTTGCTTCGAGGAGAGCTTGGGCCGGTTGTGGCTGTTAGTGCCCCTAACCAAGGGGGTGGCAGGGGGGAGTTGCGGTGGATGTATAGCCCTACTCCTGCATCCCTATCTCACTGAGCGTTGCCCCTCCATTCAAAGCCTCGTAGGGAGGGTCACTATATCCCTAGCTCTGCACATGGGGGTATGTAGGTTGCAGTAGCCTTGTCTCGCCAGATGGAGAACAGAAACAAAAGAAAACTGTTTAAACTTAGGTGAAACTGTGTGTTATGAGTACAGTCCCTTGTTGCCTGCTGCTTGTTTGGGCCCGAGCTCAGTCATGTCCCGGTGCTTGTGGTCGGACAGTTCCGTGGGGTGAAGGGGACTACTGTGGTCAGGTCCCAAGTGGATGTTGCTCTCCGATCTCTTGATGCCTCACCAAGGGCAGACAGTCCCAGTGCCCGCAGCAGTGTAGGTGCTTCTTCAGCCGCGGTGATCACATGGCTAGATCCGTTGTGGGTCACTGTGAAGGCTCGTGGAATGGTCCAGTGGTATGTAACTCTTGCGATTCTCAGTTGGCTCGTGGTTTGGTGGAGCATTTTGCTCCATTGCAGGGTGAACCTCGACAGGTCTTGGTAGAAGGACAGGTCAGCACCCTCAAATGTGTAAGGTGTTTGGTTTCGTATAGCTGAGAGAAGTGCTTTTTGTCTTGAGCCAGGGCACAGCGAACTATGATATCACTCACAGAACTTGCTGGGGCCCTAGGTGATTTTGGTAGGCAGAACATGCCATCAAAAGCTATCTTTTAGGCGTGTGTTGGCGGGAATAGGGAGGCTGCTTGTCATCGCAGGTAGTGGGGCATTTCGTCCATGGTGAAGGACTTATGTACCCCTCTTATCTTCAGGTTATTGCGCCTGGAACGGTCCTCCAGCGTAGCAAGTTGCGTGGAAAATGCTTGCTGGGTTTTGTGGACGTACAAGGGAGTCTTGTACAGTTGTCATTTCCCACCTCATATCTATGATGTCCTCTTCTGTGGCTCTCACCCTGTCTGTAACCACCTGTAAGTCAGCCTGGATGACTGCTATGTCAGATGCTAGCTTCTGGCAGAATTCGGTGAAGACATTTTTAATATCATGCTTGGTGGCCAGAGCTGATATATCAGGTAAGGCTGCAGCTGTGTGTTCTGGTGTTTGTTGCAGGGTTTGTGCTTGAGGGTAGTCAGGTGTTTGGGTCTGAGGGTCTGCTGGGGCCTCCATTTTAGGCAGGGTTTGGTGCTGTAATAGGGCCCCTATGTCTTGGGATTCGCTTGATGTACCTGAGAGAGGTTTCTGTGAGCGTCTCCCCATGGTTGAGGGCTGATCTGAAGGTAAGTGGATGATCTACAATAGCATGAGCACTATTCATTAGCGTAGGAAGCATGACGTGTGGGAACGTTCTCGGGCTCACAGGCCCACAATATTGCCGGACACGCAGGTCCCTGGTAATTTCTAGTGTTACAGCTATGGTTTTTGAGTTCACCAATTCTCACTGTTTACCCAAGCGTTAATCTGATCATGGGCGTTGGGGCGGGGGACTTTCCAGACTCTGTTCAGTCCCTCTATTGCTGTTTACGTGTCAGAGTTATTCAATCATTATTTGGTGTTTGTCTGATTATGGTAGGATTTATATATACCGTGTGGGCCTGAGTTCTCGTTTTGTCACGTGCCTGCAGTTCTGTCATCAGATGTCGTGTCTGTTCCTTCTGCATATCTAAACGTTTGTTTCATGTCTCCTTACTACTTATCCTTTTCCCTTGTCCTGTGACGTTGTTGAGTGTAGGCTTTTTATTTTCTTTCTTTATTTTCATATTTGTCGTGTGTCTAGGTTTATACTTGGGTGTAAAGAGTTATGTTGTCTTGTTTCTGTTTTTTTCTGGTCGCTCAGCATGTGTTACTTGTGTGTGTTGCTGCTTTGTGTGCTCCATGGCTGCGATGTTTGTTATGTGTCCTCCACTTTGGAGTTCGTGTCCCTCTGTTCTATTCGTGATTAATATCTGCTACTAGTGTAAATGTCTCCTTTTTCTCCACGTTCCTTCATATTATGTGTGTGTGAAGGTCTTCTCCCCTTGAGGATAGGGAGGGGAAGTAGGGGCAGGAAACATAGAAACATAGAATGTGACGGCAGATAAGAACCATTCGGCCCATCTAGTCTGCCCAATTTTCTAAATACTTTCATTAGTCCCTAGCCTTATCTTATAGTTAGGTAGCCTTATGCCTATCCCACGCATGCTTAAACTCCTTTACTGTGTTAACCTCTACCACTTCAGCTGGAAGGCTATTCCATGCATCCACTACCCTCTCAGTAAAGTAATACTTCCTGATATTATTTTTAAACCTTTGTCCCTCTAATTTAAGACTATGTCCTCTTGTTGTGGTAGTTTTTCTTCTTTTAAATATAGTCTCCTCCTTTACTGTGTTGATTCCCTTTATATATTTAAATGTTTCTATCATATCCCCCCTGTCTCGTCTTTCCTCCAAGCTATACATGTTAAGATCCTTTAACCTTTCCTGGTAAGTTTTATCCCGCAATCCATGAACCAGTTTAGTAGCCCTTCTCTGAACCCTCTCTAAGGTATCAATATCCTTCTGAAGATACGGTCTCCAGTACTGTGTACAATACTCCAAGTGAGGTCTCACCAGTGTTCTGTACAATGGCATGAGCACTTCCCTCTTTCTACTGCTAATACCTCTCCCTATACAACCAAGCATTCTGCTAGCATTTCCTGCTGCTCTATTACATTGTCTGCCTACCTTTAAGTCATCAGAAATAATCACCCCTAAATCCCTTTCCTCATATGTTGAGGTTAGGACTCTATCAAATATTCTGTACTCTGCCCTTGGGTTTTTACGTCCAAGATGCATTATCTTGCACTTATCCACATTAAATGTCAGTTGCCACAATTCTGACCATTTTTCTAGTTTACCTAAATCATTTGTCATTTGGCTTATCCCTCCTGGAACATCAACCCTGTTACATATCTTAGTATCATCAGCAAAAGACATACCTTACCATCAAGACCTTCTGCAATATCACTAATAAAAATATTAAAGAGAATGAGTCCAAGTACAGATCCCTGAGGTACCCCACTGGTGACAAGTCCAAGCTTCGAATATATTCCATTAACTACAACCCTCTGTTGCCTGTCACTCAGCCACTGCCTTACCCATTCAACAATATTTGAATCCAAACTTAAAGATTGCAGTTTATTGATAAGCCTTCTATGTGCAACAGTGTCAAAAGCCTTACTGAAATCTAGGTAAGCAATGTCTACTGCACCACCCTGATCTATAATTTTAGTTACCCAATCAAAAAAATCAATAAGATTAGTTTGGCATGATCTCCCTGAAGTAAACCCATGTTGTCTCTGATCTTGAAATCCATGTGTTTTTAGATGTTCATCAATCCTATCCTTTAACATGGTTTCCATCACTTTCCCCACTACTGAAGTAAGGCTTACTGGCCTATAGTTGCCCGACTCCTCCCTATTACCTTTCTTGTAAATGGGCACAACATTCGCTAACTTCCAATCTTCTGGGACTACTCCTGTTAACAATGATTGGTTAAATAAATCTGTTAATGGTTTTGCTAGTACACCACTAAGCTCTTTTAATAGCTTTGGGTGTATTCCATCAGGTCCCATTGACTTATTTGTCTTTACTTTTGACAGTTGAAATAGAACCTCTTCCTCTGTAAACTCACGTGTAATAAATGACTAATTTATCCTTTTTCTCAACTGAGGTCCCTTTCCTTCATTTTCATCTGTAAATACAGAACAAAAATATTCATTGAGGCAGTCAGCTAGACCTTTATCCTCTTCTACATACCTTCCTTCTTTTGTTTTTAATCTAACTAATCCTTGTTTTACTTTTCTTTTCTCATTTATGTGTCTAAAAAATGTTTTATCCCCCTTTTTTACTGACTGTGCTATTTTCTCTTCTGTGTGTGATTTGGAAACTCTTATAACTTGCTTAGCCTCTTTCTGCCTAATCTTATAGATCATTTTGTCTCCCTCACTCTGGGTTTTTTTATAATTCCTAAATGCTAACTTTTTGTTTTTAACTATTTTGGCCACATCTGCGGAGTACCACAGTGGTTTCTTGAATTTTTTGCTTTTACTGACAAGCCTAATGCAATTTTCTGTTGCCTTCAATAGTGCAACTTTTAAATAATCCCATTTTTCTTGGACTCCATTTAAATTGCTCCAGTCTGATAATTACCCATATTCTAATTTTAGAAAAGTCTGTTTTTCTAAAGTCTAAAACTTTTGTTTTTGTGTGGTGTGACTCAGTCACTGTTCTTATCTTAAACCACACTGACTGATGATCACTGGATCCTAAACTTTCACCCACAGTAACATCTGATACCAAATCTCCATTTGTTAAAACTAAATCTAGTATGGCCTCTTTACAAGTTGGCTCCTCAACAACTTGTTTTAGAGACAATCCCAGTAGGGAGTTTAGAATATGTGTGCTCCTGGCACAAGTAGCTAATTTTGTTTTCCAATTTACATCAGGAAGATTAAAGTCACCCATGATGATAACTTCCCCCTTCATTGTCATTTTAGCTATTTCCCCAATTAGTAGATTATCTAACTCTTCAATTTGTCCTGGGGGCCTATAAATCACACCTACACAGGAAAGGGGGGGAGGAGGGGTGGAGAGGGAGGGTGTCTGTCTCACTCCGTGTCGCGTCCGGGCCCCCTCCTGTGCTCTTTCCGGCTCTCCCGGTTGGGTGTACTCTTTCTACGTCCTGTCTTAAGCGATGTACAATATCCAGGGTGTCCATAATTCTGTATGTTTTTCCTCCTTGCCTATTGTTTCTGCTATTTTGGCTTCTGCCCTTCTTATGTCTTCTACTTTATTCTTCCATTGTTCTATTGTGGGTATATGTTCTTTCCTCCAGTGCAGTGGGATTAGGGATTTAGCCGCATTTAGCAGGTGTCTCAGGATTGACTTTTTGTAAGAAGGTATGGGTCGTTCCGTGTGGTGTATGACGGCCGCTCCCATTGTCAGGTCTATAGGGTCTCCTAGGATGTGTTCTATTTCCTGTTCAGTGTTCTCCCAGTACGGTTTAATTTTATCGCAATCCCACCAGATGTGCTTCAGGGTTCCGGGGCCGTCTCCGCATCTCCAGCAGATGTTCGGAATGGTGCGTATCGGTTTATCAGGGAGGGGGTGCAATACCAGTGTGTAAGAAGCTTGTAGTTTACCTCCTGGTAGTGGGAGCTAGTGGAGCTTTTATGTTGTAGTATTAAGATCTTTTCCCACTGGGTATCCGCAAAAGGTTCCCCGTCCATTCCTCCCACTGCCTTTTGTATAGGGTGTTTTCTGTTCTATGTCCTGTCAGAATACTTTGATATATCATGGAGACCCTCCCTTCAGTCTCTGTTGTCTGAGTGCATAAGTTCTCGAACCACGTGAGGTCCCTGTGTATTTTGGCTCTATGTTGTAGGTTGTGGTAGTAGTGGGTCAGTTGGGCGTAATGGAATTGGTGCATTAGTGTGTGTGGTCTCTCTTCCAATATGTCTCGCAGTGGTTTCACTCCCGTGTTGCTTAGGGTTGTGTAGATAGGTATGTATCCGTC